CACCCTCTCCCAGTCTTCCCATCTCAAAACTAAATAATCCTAGTTTTTTCAGCTTTTCCACAGAAGTTATGCTTCCCAAGCCTCTATTCATTTCAGCCACTGGACTCATTCCTCTTTGTCCATACCTTTCTTGAAGTGGGGGGCCCAAAATTTAATACAGTAGCCCCAGGTGAAGCTTGGTCAGTGCTGAGTGGAAAAATCACTTACATAGATTCATAAGAGACACTCCAGTTAAAACAATCCAGTACATTGTCAGTTAAATAAAATACAGTCACAAATGCACACTGTGGGCTCAGTCGGCTTATGGTCCACTGTAACCCCCATGTCCTTTTCTGCAGTGCTGCCACCAATTCCCCAGCTCGCATTTCTGCATGCAATTAGTCTATCCCAAGTGCAGGACTGCATTTGTTCTTGTTGGACTTCACCTGGCTGGTTCTGGACCATTTCTCTATTCTATCCAGGTCGTTCTGGATCCTAGCCCAGAGCGTCTGCAACTCCACCCAACTTGGTGTCACCTGTATATTTACTAAGCGTGCACTCAATCCCATTGCCCAAATCATTAATGAAAATGTTCAACAATATCATACTGAGGACAGAATCCCACTTGATACCTCCTTTCAAAAAGTTAGTGAGCCACTGATGATGACTTGTTGAGCATGATAATGCAACCAGTTATGTATCCATCTTATATCTATGTACCTTAGCTTATGAATGAGATTGCAGGGGGACACCATGTCAAAAGCCTTGCCAATAATCAAGGTGCATCACATCCGCTGCTTGCCCCTAACGAGAATCTGTCACCTTATCATAGAAGAAAATCAAGTCAGCTAGGCATGGCTTGCTCTTGGTGAATTCATGCTGGCTGTTCCTGCTTCTGTTCTCTTCTAAGTCTTCAAATATGCTTATAAAAAAGTTGTATCATTCAGCAGAGCATTCAAACAGCTGTGGCCGAAAAAAAAATCAGTGAATTTTGTCAGAGCCAATCAAATTTTAGAAGAGAATTGTGATCTAGCAGGTTTCTGAAGGGAGGGAAATTACCTGTTGCCTAGCTGCACACTGCCATAGGAATACTTTCCCTGCAGGTAAATCACTCTCCTACTATTATGTACCCCAGGAAAAATACTAATTGAAAACACGATTCTAATACTGTCCAGCTGGAAAATATTAACTTCGAATGGAACTGGCTTGACATAAGCTGCCAGTTGGCCATGCACAATGGAAAAGGAAATGAGCCTCTTGCAGACAAACCACCCCTTTTTGCACTTCTCTTTGATTCCCGCCCCCCACCCCCCCGTCACTTCCACCCCTGCCCCCCACACACAGACGAATCAAAGGATTTGGGTTAATAATGAATTTATTTGTGGGGTACAGTGTGCTTGCAGTTAGCACTAAGAAACTGGGATTTTTTTGTGCCAAGCTTGTTAAAGGAAGGACAAGCAAAATGAAGGCTCAACAAAGGTGGATGCAGGACGGTAAGGGTGACTGGATAACCACTTATGGTCCCATCACTTGCCTAGTATTTTTGTTCTCAAATCTTCCTCTGCTAACAGGAAAACAGTAGGCAATTTAACCGTCCCCCACCTACACTCCTAATTTTCTAGCATACAACATATACTTTTCCCTCCAAAAACAGCTGCTGGAAATTGGGGTGGGCATTATAAGTAAGGAAATATGGTAAAAGCAGTTTCTCTCATTTAAGCTTCTGCCAGGCAAAAACAAAAGTACCACATGATCCATAGGGAGCAGAGCAGTGAGCAGACTCATTTACTTCGCTGCTGCTACTCATGGCAAGGAAAGATGTTTCTTTTCCATTTTGCCTTCTTAAAAAAGGCATGGGTCTTATTCCGGGATGTGCTGTACGGATGTATATTTTTATGCCAGGGATGTATTTGGTACCCCTGTTGTTCGGACACAAAAAGAAATGCAAAGCTCTAAAACTCTTGCTTTAGAGATGATACCCTGTATTAGGCCAACTAAGAAATCACAAAGAAAAAAAGATAGATAATTTTTAGTTGGTCTAATAAAAGGTATCATCTCTGAATCAAGAGTTTTAGTGTTTTGCGTTTCTTTATGCATGTCGGAGATGTGGTTTTCCCTTGCCTGTGGTCAACAGGAGACGGGCAAGATGAGAATCCTTCTCTAGCCTCTTACTCTCTATACTTGAAAAGTTGACCTCACCATCAACTCCTGAGACTTGTAAGGAGATCAGGGACCGCTGTGCTTGACAAATCAGATGAAGTAGATGATGGGCAAAGAGAAGGTAGCCCAGGGAAAGGAAGGAACCTAGTACCAAGTGAGGAAGGAGATGAATGAAGTCCTGACCGTGATGTTATTGAGAGAGGAGTTGTCCAATATTGAAGTAAAAAACAACTGAATAGATGATATCAATTGCACTTCGACCTGTTGTGAAGTTGGGGTTGGGGGGAGAAGGGTGGGGGACACCATGAGCCTGGTTTTGCTCCAGGCTAATCCTGCGGGAGCAGCGTTTTCTACTAGATTTTTTCTAGAAAAAATTAGGTTAAGTAATGGAAAGAAGAGGATGGGGAAATGCCTGAAAGAAAGGCTGGTTTCATATAGCATCCAACAGTCCACCACCTGTGTTTTCCATTCCAATACCGAGTGCCAAGCTGGGTGTTTTTCCCCCTTAGTAATGTCAATTTAGTTTAAATCATGGATCCTATGAAAAGCTAGAGAAGAATTTAAATAATTCATAACAGCCAGAACTTTTTAACCCCGTTTTGAAGTGAACAAGGACTGTCTCTCTCATACTAATGATGAATGTAGGCATCGTTCTCACAGCAGCAGCCTCATCCCTCCAAATATTATTCCTGCCTTAAAGAAAGGACCTCCAGGAAAGTCAGCAGCCTGTCAATTTACTTCCCGGGACTAACGAGCTTAAAAGGAAAACACTGTAAGGTGTACAATGTAAGCAAGGCCGCAGGTGAACGTGTAGTTTGTATTATATTTTATGGAGCGCCTATGAAAACAAAGGCAATAGTGTTGCATCACTTAAGCAATAATACGGCCACGGCATTTCCCTTAATACTTGACTATACACAAAAGTGCTGGATCAGCAACTTCGCAGGCTGAAGTCAATTAATGTATTCACCGGTGTGGAGCCCAGAAATGCAAGCTTCCTCCGAGTGGCTCTCAAATATGCAGCCTTTACTGTAAAAGGGACCTCCTGTAGGGGCACAGGAAGAGGAAGAGCAAGATCTTTCAGTACCTGCGACGGAGAAGGGGTGTGGGGTGGGGGGGAAATTACGCTGATCACTGAAAAGGGAGCAAAATCTTACCTGCTCCAGCTCCTCCTGTAGCAGTATGTGTTTAGGGGTCTCCAGGGGCCGGCGCTCTGTTCACTCCCCCACCTGCCATTGCAAAGACTCCTAGAGCCCCACTTGCCCCCTTCCCTTCCCAGTTACGCTACTGGGTAACCAGTCCAGTCAAAAAAAATGCTCATTTTACAAAGACTTCTTCATACCTCAAACAAGATTTTATACAGCCATTAGGAGTGAATTACTTCCAATAAGTACCTTCTGCCCAGAATTTAAAGAGGACATCAAACTTGCCTGGAGTTTAGGCCCTAGTTTGACTGACAAACTGATTCTTGCACTATATCACTCCCCCAATTCTTGCCACCACATGCTGCCACCCCCCTGCTGTTACTTGTTTAACGTACTGGACAGAGCTGGGGACGGATACGCAGAAGTATCGAGCGCTGATAACACAGAGTCAACGGGGACTGGAAATGTATTAGGACCTCTGAGGAGTCTGGCCACCAGGGCTTAAATCACCGAATTGTTCATAATTAATGGATGTTTTTACCAACCCTCTCCATCCCCCACATCGCTTGTTAAAAAAGAAGGGCAATACTTCCCTAACCTGAGAGGTATGATAGCAAGTTTACAGGGCTTTTGGATACCGGGTGATAAGCGCTATATAGAAACAGGTGTTCATACGCTGAACACGGAAACAGGAAAGATCTTACTGGACAGCTGCAGCATTTATGGAGAGCTGTCTATCACATGCACTCAATGAGGCAAGACTTCCCTGGAAGAAAGCTATGGGCATATAACAGCTGACTGTATAGGCAGTGGAGGGGAAGACCCAAGGTTGTCCAGGCATCTTTAATGGTGGCAATGGTTGCACAGGCGTCTTGAATTTCCTGACACTCAAGTCTGGGCTTTAATGTTAATATATGTTTTGCATACGTTTCAGTGTGGCTGCATATACTTTAAGGGGGAGCAGAAATGATATATTTTTTAAATCATGCAAAGTCAAGCGAAACGGTTTTGTGCCTGGGTTGAGAAGCCAGGCTGCCATGAAATAAAGCTCCAAACAGGTGTATGTATGTGTAACAAGCAGACAGATATAAAATGTATATCTGGGGCATCTTCGTTGTGTTTTCTAGTTATGGGTCTGCCATCAGAAGCTGACCAAAGCCAAGCCCTATCATAATTCTCTCTCTTGCCTTCAGCTGCTTTTCAAACCTGCATTTTTATATAGATGGAGCATCGAAGAGTATTCAGGATTACAGGGAGGCACTTTGTGAATCTCTCCTCCTTCCCATTTTGCATGCATGATATCATTTTGAACATTTATTTGCATGAAAAAATACATTTATATCTTCACAGAATACAGAGACAATTACTCTTCTGTTTCTTCTGAGGGACCTCACAAGAATGGCTTCTATCTGCAGCACCTGCAGCTATTTCCAGCCAACTGTTCTGCTTTGTTAAACTGTATCCTTCTTGATTACAAGGCATAAAAACTCGAAAAAGGTGTAATTTTATTTAAACCAATGTAGCCCCCCAAAAAAGACATAAACCGCAGGCATAAAATTAAGTCAAAACACGACCTGATGGCTTTCAAGTGCTCTTAGTTTCTTACAGGTTACCCATGACTAGCTGATTTCCATTACTGCTTGTATCCACGGTACAGAACATGCATCTTTGAAGATTAATTACAGGTAGGACCACCCTACAAGTGTGAACTCTCACCTTTATGCTTCCTCCAATGAGATCGGGCGGTTCCTCGTCTGTTTCTAAGGCAACATTGATGGAGGCAAAGGGGCGACTAGCCATCTGTTGCATCTCACGGAGTAGTTGCTAAGCGAAAAAACAGAGAAATATTACTACCTTGCTCCAACGGAAAAGGAAAACACAAAAAGTGTCCGATGCACTTCGCCGAACACAAACAGGCGCGCCTTCGATTTGCAAGGGAAATTCTTGGGACTTTAACTGGCCTTAAGATGATTCAATGCCACCGGACAGGAACAACTTCTAAATAAAACCACCGGCATCGCTGTCAGACGTCTCATCGTGCTAAGACTGTGGGGCCAACCTTTTTTGTGCCGCAAATTAGCCCTGTGCCCTCACCGAGTGCCATCCCAGTCCCCCGGCCTGCCTGAGCTGCTACTTGCTTTCTGCCTCCTACCGTATATACTCCTTGCCTGATCTGCTGCTCCGATTTCTGCTTCCTGCCCTGTGTCCCCTGCACAATCTGCTATTCTGCTCCCTGCCCGTCTCCTCCCCAATATGCACGTGCTGCAGAGGCGGCCGGTACCACACGTAGGCTGGCTGCCCCTGAGCTAAGAAAGACCCCGAGATTTTCTGTATATACAAGTCGGGCAGCTGCCAGTGCACCTGCCATAACAGCAGCTAAATGCTGCGTGGTCACGCAGAGTCTAAATGCAGCAAACTACAAGCATAGCGATGCACCATAGAAAACACCGGGTCAAATTCCTAGGCAAGTTTTTAGAAATCCTCCAAGTAAAAGCCTCTTGGTAAGATTTTAAGCGTCTCAGACATAGAGATGGTGCCCTCTATATAGCAGAGAGTGAAGCAGTCCAGCTTGTGCACAGCAGCAGGGAAGAAGGTCCCTTTTTTCCAGCTTCAGTGGCTAAAAGGTCCTAACAGTAGCAGCAAACTCAATGTTGGCAATGGGATGTGGACATCAAACTGTAACTCTCAGAAGCAACAGGAATCGTACGACAAGCTGCCTGATTAATAACGGAGCGGGGATGCGACCCCCTGGAAACAAAGGGAGCCATCAACAGCTTGGTTGCAGCATGTTACTGAAATCCCTCCGGTTTGAACACGGTACAGGACTTTGGGCATGTGGTAGGACCATTTAACTACTCTAACCAAGCTTTCTATAACTGTGGCAATTTGAAATGCATCCTGTACTCAAACGCTAGACTTGAAGAGTTGCAGAAACTGCTGATCAAATACAATATCCTCTTCCCTGTGTCCCGTCCTCCCCTTTAAATTGGGAGGCTTTATAAGGTCAAAAATCTCAAGTGTTAGATGCAAGATTCAAGATGTACTTGGCTACTTAGAAATGAAACATGCCGCGTTCTTGCAGCCGACAGCTTAAGAGGAAAAAAAAAGCGAAGCACAGACGCATGGCGGCAGAAGGGGATAGAACAGGCAAGGAAAAGGGATTTAACACGCAGCGCTTTAGAGCCACAAATTCTGGCTTTCCTTTTTCTCGAACCTCCTTCTGTCCCTCCTTTTTGTTCAGCTGTTGTCTGCTCAACTCCTCTCTTACCAACAAATCTTAAGCACATACTTGCTCTCTACCTCTCCCTTTTCCTCCATTACCATGTCAGCCCACACACAGACATGAAGCTGGAAGGAAACGACCATCTTTGGGGATTTCTAATAGGATACACATTTTCAGGTTTGAATCTTGACAAGGTTTGTAGTGGCCAAAAATCTTTGCTATTTAAACGTATTTCACTTTTCCTGAAACGTTCATGTTATTGTTTCTCATAAAAAACAACTGTTTTTGCATCGTTTTAAGCAGCATCAGCTAAGGCAGAGGTTGTCAACTGCATTGGACTCCCTTGGAAAATGCCAGTTCTTAGTTTTCACTTATTTCTTGACTACAGAAATAACAGAGCAATTCTTCTGTTGCAAAGAACTAGGAAGACCACAACAGGTCAGGAGGTTTTTGACACTATGGATTTCCATTTGAAATCCCTGGGCTTTTCTTGTGCATCACCTGTAGGTGATTGCACACTTAACGGTGCAGATATTGTGTGTCCATGCCCCTAAAAAGATCTCAAAGCACCCCAGGGTGCCATGGCATCGCAGCTGAGAATCACTGAGCTAAGGCACAGAGGTCTGAATAGGAGATTTAAAGATGCTTTCTCTCATCCCAACAGATGAAACATTTCAGGAAGAAGAGTATGGCAAAGACCATCTTCTCTAGACCCCTACTGTCAGGTTTCGAGGATTTTCAGTCCAGCAGAATTCAAGACCTTTCACCAACACAACAGAAAAAAGAAAACAGCAAAGCCAGGTTTGATCTCCAAAAGAAATCAAATATCTGTCTATAGACAGAGAGCCAGAAACAAATTAAAAAGATAAATCCATAGGATTTTCTGTCCACCTGCAATGTGTACTCGGAGGTGAAAAGGGACCGTACGCTGACGTACTAAACCTCCAGTAATTTGGGCATATGCAGAATACTCTCAGCAGATTGCAAGCTAAAGCAAGTGTGAAACAGATTGTTGGGTTGTCTTTCCTTTAATTGTCCCCTTCAGCTATCATAAAGTGTGTTGTCTAATGGCTGCAAAAATCAGAGAACAAGCTGTCCTGATAAAGATGTCCAAAAAGAAGAATGAACTGAAAATCGTTAGCGCTTAGAAGGAAGTTTCATGGGCTGGGTTTAGCAACATGGCTTCTAATGAGATCAACAGGCTTTGAGATCAACTTTTCTAATGCACGCAATGCTCTCTACACAAAAGAAGAGATGTGCTAGACAGTGCAAGACCAATAGTTCATCTAGCCCAGTCTCCAACAGCAGTAGTGGTAGATGCTTCAGCACAGCTAGGGACAGGAATGACACGTAACCCGGTATTAGCAATCAGAAACTGGTTCAAATCTGTAACACAGCAGAAGATCAGCGTGCAAAACCTGCTTTTAAAATGACAAACTGGTTATAATAAACCTGCATGGATGTTGTATCAGACTTAACTGATGTGGTTAAACCGGTTTATTCAACTTCTGTCCCAGATCCCCTCCAGATTCAAGTTAACTCACAGTCCCCCGGTATCCCAGCATGCTTTGCACCACTCCTGCAACCCCTGCTGCATCTCAGGGAGGGTGGGTGGGCTAGCTTTGGCCCAAGCTGTCTGCCCCACCAAGCAGGGAGGCACGCTCTAGTGCCCCCGGCCAAGCCACTGCAGGCATGTGGCTGTCTTTCCAGAATCAGAAGCGAGTGTCTGCTCACTTGCTTACCAGCAGGGATCCAGGTTTTCAGTCTCCCATGGAAAAATGTGCATTTTCCCTTTTACCCCCAAAAAATCATGGATTTTTTTCATTTTAACAGAGAAACACACAGATTTTCCACTTTTGCAAAGAACTCATCAACGACTTGGACGAGGGAGTGAAGTGTACGCTGTCCAAGTTTGCAGATGACACAAAACTGTAGGGAGAAGTGGACACGCCGGAGGGCAGGGAACAACTACAAGCAGACCTGGACAGGTTGGACAAGTGGGCAGAAAACAACAGAATGCAGTTCAACAAGGAGAAATGCAAAGTGCTGCACCTAGGGAGGAAAAATGTCCAGCACACCTAC